TTGAGCTATTACTTCCCTGGGTCACGTCACTGCCAGCCCTTATCTGGTCTATTGTGCTAGCTGATCTCCTTGCTTTCACTCTTGCCCGTCTATAGCCTCTTCTCCATTTGGCAGTTAGAGCAGTCCTTTTAAAAAAGAAGTCAGATCATGTTGTTCCTGCTCCTAGGCTTCTTGTTTTACTAAATAAAAGCTAAACAAAATACCATAGACCTAAAGGTCTTAATGTGATCTTGGCCTTGGCTAGCTCTTTGTTTTCTATTATGCTCCCTCTTGCTCCCTGTGTTCCAGATACTGTGCATTAGTCTCTTTGTTGTTTTTCAAACACACCAGGCATCTTTCCACATAAAAGCTTTTGCACTTGCTGTAATTCTCTATTCTTGTGTGCTGTTTTACTGGATATCCACATGGTTCATTTTCTCATCTATTTTAAGCTTTTGCTCACATGTCACCTTATTAATGAGACTTTATCAGTTCACTTTCCATAAAGTATAAAATAGCACTTGCCCCACCTGTCATATTCTATTCCCTCATCCTGCTTTTCCTCTAGAGCCTTATTACCTGATATATAATATATATTTATTTGTTTGTCTTCCTCAGTAGACTGTAAACCCAATGAGAGAAGGGTTTTGTTTTTTCTTTTGGTGGTAGCGGTTGTTCATTGCCATTTTCTCAGCACCTGGCATATAGTAGGTCCTTAATAAATATTCATCAAATGAATGAATCTTAAGTGCTCATTTCGAAAAGAATGCTTTTTATAAAAAGGTATCCACAAGATGGCATTATTTTCAAACTTTATGTAATTAATGTTGGGAGCAAATGATAGGTTCTTTTCTGTTTTTTTGCCTTAAACAAAGAAGATGTTTGTGATGAAGATTGTCACGAGAAGTTAGTAGGGCGAATATGGGGCATGTCGAATACTGCATTTATATTTGGTTTTTGATTTATATTTTTTCAGATATTTATTATAAAATAAAAAACAAGTGGAGAAACTTATAGAAAATTATAGCATATTGGCCAGGCACGGTGGCTCACACCTGTAATCCCAGCACTTTGGGAGGCCAAGGCGGGCGAATCACGAGGTCTGGAGATTGAGATGATCCTGACCAATGTGGTAAAACCCCGACTCTACTAAAATACAAAAATTAGATGGGCATGGTGGTGCGCACCTATAGTCCCAGCTACTTGGGAGGATGAGGTAGGAGAATCACTTGAACCTGGGAGGTGGAGGTTGCAGTGAGCCAAAATTACACCACTGCACTCCAGCCTAGTGACAGAGAGACACTCTGTTTCAAAAAAATAAAAATAAAACCAAACCACAAGGTCAGCAGTTCAAGACCAGCCTGGCCAGGATGGTGAAACTCCATCTCTACTAAAAATACAAAAAAATTAGCCGGGCATGGTGGCGGGCGCCTGTAATCCCAGCTACTCAGGAGGCTGGGGCAGAGAATTGCTTGAACCTGGGAGGCGGAGATTGCAGTGAGCCGAGATGATGCCACTGCACTCCAGCCTGGGCGACAGAGTGAGACTCAGTCTTAAAAAAAAATTACAGCTTATTGGCCGGGCGCGGTGGCTCAAGCCTGTAATCCCAGCACTTTGGGAGGCGGAGGCGGGCGGATCACGAGGTCAAGAGATCGAGACCATCCTGGTCAACATGGTGAAACCCCGTCTCTACTAAAAATACAAAAAATTAGCTGGGCATGGTGGCGCGTGCCTGTAATCCCAGCTACTCAGGAGGCTGAGGCAGGAGAATTGCCTGAACCCGGGCGGCGGAGGTTGCGGTGAGCCGAGATCACGCCATTGCACTCCAGCCTGGGCAACAAGAGGGAAACTCCGTCTCAAAAAAAAAAAAAAAAAAAAAAAAAAAAAAAAAAATTACAGCATATTGGTTTGTAAATAACCATTTAATACAATTATTTGCATGGTAACTGTGAATAAAGGTTGTTCATGTCTATCCATTGACCACCATTCCTTCTGAGAGGCCTTCAGCAATGAGAAAGCAGCAATAAGTTCCAGAGCCTTTCACTACTCAAGCCACTAGTGGAAATCCAGCCTAGTGCTAGAGGGCAGAAAATTGTCAGCTGTTCAATGCTTGTTGCTCATAAGTTAGGTACTCTCAATCTGGTTCCTCATCAACTGGGCATTCAAAGTGTGAAAAACTTCCATGTTCCTAGAAGATGTTGCCAGACCTATCTTGTTAAAAACTGGTAAGTTCTAAATGCCAGCGATTTTTTAGCTACTTCTCTGACCAGCACTAAACTCAGCACATAGTTTCCCTAATCAGAAAATTTACACTTTTCCCGCAAACCCTCAGGATTTGGCTCCTCTGTCTGTGTCAATGCCATCTAATTTCTTGATTTCCTCACTTACCTCATTTCCTTCTTCCGTTTCAATCCCTGTGCCTCTCTTAAGCACTTTTCCTGGATGGTTATTTGATCCATTTTATTCTCACTCTTCACACCTCTTTTGGTACTATTCCTTACTCATGAAGTATTTTTTCCTCTTCCTGTTCAACTTAACTATGTTTATTTTTCTTTTCAAATTGTTCAAAAATATACTTTAAAAAAGTTATTGAAGTTCTCTCTTCTCTTTTCCTGTTTTAGGGTTTTCTCTTTTATTTCTGATCATAGCAAATGTAAGGACTTATTTTATCTTTTTAAAGTTCTCAGCAGAGACCCAGAACTCTTAACTATTTAGAAATGAAAACACTGTTCTTTTGTATTTTTGAGTCTCTAAATGGAACATACAATGTAGGATGGTTTTCAGGTTTACAGCCTCTCTTCCAAGTTCCCCTGGGATGTTCTCTTCCAAGTTCTCTTCCTAAGCAAGTACTAGGGCTGATAAAATGACATTTTATTTAAAATCAAAGGCAATGTTTAAACTCAAAACATTTAAAATGGGCCAGCACTTCGGGAGGCCAAGACAGGCAAATCAGGAGGTCAAGAGATCAAGACCATTCTGCCCAACATGGTGAAACCCCATCTCTACTAAAAATACAAAAAATTAGCTGGGTGTGGTGGTGTGTGCCTGTAGTCCCAGCTACTCGGGAGGCTGAGGTAGGAGAATCACTTGAACCCGGGAGGCAGAAATTGCAGTGAGCTGAGATTGTGCCACTGCACACCAGTCTGGTGACAGAGTGAGACTCTGTCTGAAAGCAAAACAAAACAAAACAAAAAAAACACATTTAAAATGAAATGAGATGGTTAAACTCAAAGACTTGTAGCTTTTAACATTTTTAACCATAAATATGAGAAATTTCTAGTAATGCTTTCCATATCTTATAATATGAATGATGGTGTTTTAACTTGTCACTCTCTTGTGTTTGGCATACTGCATATATTAAACTGGCTTTGACAAAATAGACAAATGGGATCGAATTAAGAGCTTCTGCACAGCAAAAGAAACTATCATTAGAGTGAACTGGCAACCAACAGAATGGGAAAAAATTTTTGCAATCTACCTATCTGACAAAGGGCTAATATCCAGAATCTACAGAGAATTTAAACAAATTTACAAGAAAAAAACAAATGACCCCATCAAAAAGGGGGCAAAGGATGTGAACAGCCACTTCTCAGAAGACATTTGTGCAGCCAACAAACATACGAAAAAAAGCTCATCAACACTGGTCATTAGAGAAATGCAATTCAGAACCACGTTGTGATACCACCTCAGGCCAGGTAGAATGGCAATCATTAAAAAATCAGGAGATACCAGATGGGTAGTGAGGATGTAGAGAAATAGGAATACTTTTACATTGTTGGTGGGAGTGTAATTAGTTCAGCCACTGTGGAAGACAGTGTGGCGATTCCTCAAGGATCTAGAAATAGAAATTCCATTTGACCCAGCAATCCCATTACAGGGTATATACCCAAGGGATTATAAATCATTCTATTATAAAGACATACACACATGTATGTTTATTGCAGCACTATTCACAATAGCAAAGACTTGGAACCAACCCAAATGCCCATCAATAGTAGACTGGATAAAGAAATTGTGGCACATATACACCATGGAATACTATGCAGCCATAAAAAAGGACTGAGTTCATTTTCTTTTCAGGGACATGGATGAAGCTGGAAACCATCATTGTCAGCAAGCTGACACTAAGAACAGAAAACCAAACACCACATGTTCTCACTCATAAGTGGGTGTTGAACAATGAGAACACATGGACACAGGGAGGGGAACATCATATACCAGGGCCTCGGGGGTGGGGGACTAGGGGAGGAATAGCAGGGGGTGGGGGATTGGGGAGGGATAGAATTAGGAGAAATACCTAATGTAGATGACGGGGCGATAGATGCAGCAAACCACTACCATGGCACGTGTATAACTGTAACAAACTGGCACAATCTGCACATGTACCCCAGAACTTAAAGTAAAAACAAAGCAAAAAACTGGCTTTGAGGCTAAAATTTAGTGTTTAGAAAATCATTTTTTGTTTGACTAAGAAATTATTGGATAACATTAATTTGTTTGGGCCATAATTTTCTGTTTACCAGGGAATTATTGCATGGCATTAATTTGCATGAATTGTTTCATTTGAGAAAGTGTATTTTTCTTGACTGAGACATGAAGACTTACTAATACCTGGTTATTAGAATATAATATACCATATTTGTTCAAATATACTTATTTTATTCAAGAAAATGAAAGCATTCTTGTTTAGTATACATATCTTATAGCTGCTTCTCTAAATATCATTTACAAAAACCATATTTAATCCCAGAAAGATAAATCTCAGAGACATTGTTGTTTACTCAAGGTTAGATGAGATCCAAAACCCCTTGCTGGTTTCATGCGCTGACTGCTAACCTCTGTTAGTGCTTACAAAAGTGACCTTACATTCTAAACCTGTATATTAAGCCATTTTGCTTATACCTGCTCTATTGATAAGGCTTATAAGTTTCTCAAATAAAATTAATTAGAGATTCAGCAATGTGGCTTTAAATAGAATTGGTTATTTTTGTTTGTGCTTTTTTTTTTTTTTTCACCCACAGACTGGTTGAGATAGCAGAATCCCGTTTTCCCAGATATTTTAACACTGAAGAAAAATTACTTTTGACAAGTAGTAAAGTTCATCTTTATCGGGAGCTCACCTGTGATGAAGTTCTACAAAGGTATGCTGCTTTAGATTTTGATTTTTTAGTAATGCCTTGAAGGTTTATGTTTTATCTTTTATGTTTTCAGCTTCTGAGTGAGGAAAGTCTTTACAGGTTAGAATTACTGGAATAACTTTTTCAGTATTTTTCTTTGTTATAGCCTTTTGGTTGAAGTCTTTCTTTAAAAATGAAAAAATTAAATGAATAAAATATTTTAGATTTAATTGTTTAAGTGGTATATTACTTATCTATTGTATGATTAACAAATTGTCTCACAGTTTAGTAGCTTAAAACAGCAAATATATATTATTACTTCACAGTAGTTTCTGAGGGTTAAATGTCTGGGAGTGGCTTAGCTGGGTGTTTCTCACTCAGTGTTGCTCAAGAGGTTATACGCAAGCTGGTAGTCAGGGCTGCAGTTATCTCAAGGCTTGACTGGAGCTGGATTATCTGCTTCCAAGCTCCCTAATGTAGTTGTTGGAAGGTCTCTGTTCCTTGCTGGCAGTGGGCAAGAGGCCTTTGTTCCTTACCATCTGGGCCTCTCCACAAATCACAACATGGCAACTTGCTTCCCCCAGAATAAGTGACCTGAGAGACTGGACAAGTGAAGTAGTACCCAAGATGGAAGCTGTAGTCTTTTGTAACCTACACTCAGAAATAAAGTACCATCATTTTGTCATATGCCTGTGGTCATACAGATCAAGTCTGGTATACTGTGGGAGGGGCCTACACAAGGATGTGAAATGCCAAGAGAGTAAGTATGGACCATTTTGCAGACTGGCTGCCACAAGTAGTTTTACCCCAGAATTGGAGCGTTAGCATTATCTTAGGAGAACCAAAGAATTCTGAAACTACACAGAAACAGTTTCCTCTGTTCCCAGAAAAGTATGATATGTCTAGAAGAGCTGAAAATAAGTTAGGTTTACTGAATTCTTGCAATCCATTACTGTAACTTAGGGAAGAATAGTTTGTTATTGTTTTTAAGTTACTTAGCCATTGCAACACCCTTATTTATTTATTATACCTTAAATTTATTGACCATTTTATAAATTCTTCTTTTATAGGATTGAATCTTTGGAAGAAGAAATTATCTCAAAAGGAATTAAACTTGTGATTATTGACTCTGTTGCTTCTGTGGTCAGAAAGGAGTTTGATACACAACTTCCAGGCAATCTCAAAGAAAGAAACAAATTCTTGGCAAGAGAAGCATCTTCCTTGAAGTATTTGGCTGAGGAGTTTTCAATCCCAGTAAGTTTTTTTCCACCCTTTTTTCTTTTCCTTTCTTTTATATTACATTCACTGACTTACAGTATCAAGTAATAAAATTAGAGGAAAATGTAAAATGGATGACTTTTTAAAGGTGGTACAGTCTAATTGCTATAGCAAACATCATCATCATCTTAACTTAGTTCATCTGATGAGATTATTTTATTCTTTTAATAATTTGAGCCTGGAGCAGATTTGAATGATGTTTTTAAAAGTTCATATAGTTCCTCCTTTTCTTCTCATTGTTTACTCTTTGTGTGTGCTTTATATCCCATTTGTCATACTGCAGTAAATATAAAGTAGTAAAACTTCATGAAATTGCCTAGGTCCATTTCTTTGTTGCAGTCATTAGTTTTGTTTTAAGTATTTTAGGTTTAGATACTGTATTATTGTGTTCTGTGCTGTTTTGTGTGAGCTAGGATTCAGTTTGCTTCAAATGGTCAAAGGTCACTATTAAGGGGTGCTGGAATGATAGTAATGAAAGTGCCAGTAAGAAAATCGTGAAAGATTACTGGTGGCTTGGTTTTTACTAGTGGGCATTGTGATCAGAAATCTGAAGATGATGGGATATTGTAAGGGGTTGTAATGTGTAAGCTGCAACATACCCATCTGTCAGAGGTTTCAGTTGTTCCACAGCCTCATCATCATTCAGGCTTCTCAATTGTAGTCATGCTTCATCTCAAGAAAAGACAGTTCCTTAAACTGAGATGAAATTTGGTTACGATTTTATTATTTTTAGATTTCTTTTTGGAAAATTAAAACAAATTATTTGCAACGTAAAGAATACCTATAAGTGATATAAACTACTATACAGCCTTTGAGCTTTATAAAATCAAGGAAGAAGTCAAGGGAGAAAATGTAGCATTCAAAAAATTCTACATACTTTAATGGCTTTTCAGTTTATTTTGAATTAAAGTCAAATGATAGTGTTTATCTTGGGTGATGTTCATCTTTTATAGTTTATTGTAGTTGGTTAAAATGATAAATTCAAATTTATATTTTTTCTGGTCAAGGAGAATAAGGGAACTTTGAAATAGTTTATAAAGATCCTTGATTGAATAGGAATTTATGTATGCAGTTGGCCCTCTGTATCTGTGGGTTTTGCATCTATGGATTCAACCAACTAAGGAGAGGAGATATTTGAAAAAATACTGGGTGTGGTTGTATGACCCTGCATTCTCAGCTACTCAAGAGGCTGAGGCAGGAGGATCACTTGGACCCAGGAGGTTGAGGTTGCAATGAGCCATGATCATGCCACTGTACTCCAGCCTGGGAGACAGAGCGAGATTCTGTCTCTAAAAATATGTATATATTTGGAAAAAAAGAAAAGGATTGTTGTCTTTGCACTGAACATCTACAGACTTTATTTCCCTCTTTCCCTAAACAATACAGTTTAGCAGTGATTTACGTAGCATGTAAATCGTATTGTGTGTTATAAGTAATCTAAAGTTGATTTAAAGTATACAAGAGAATTTACATAGGTTATATGCAAACTGCTGTACCATTTTGTATGAGGGACTTGAGCATCCATGGATTATGATATCTGCAGAGGAATCCTGGAAGCCATTACCCCATGGATACAGCAGGATAACTATATATTCTTATTTTATTATTAATTTATACTGTTGCTTGACTTAATCCTGTGCAAAATAAAATTCACTTTTTAAAAGTTCTATTTGTTTGCTTTTAAGTAGTAACTGTAGGCTAATGCTTTTCAGTTTTTTCTAGGGTGATTTATTTTCCCAAGTGAGAAAGGGGCTCTACTTTTCTTTGTTTCTAATAGAACCCTCTGAAAAAAAAAAGATACTAAATATCCCATTTCTCTGTCTTTGTCTTTGTTTCTGTATTTAGAGATAAATGCAGATTATTCTGTGTACTTACCTAACTGTGATAACTGTTTTTTGTGACAAGTAAGATTGTAAGATTGGTTTCAAAAGAATTTTGAAAAATACTTCCTTTAGAAAATGTCAGAATTTTCCTAGCTAAATTGATGCATTTCAATGAAAAATCTCTCACACAGGTCTGAGATTTAATTAAAAAAAAAAAAAAAAGGAACTCATGAACTTTTTTTGTTTGTTTGTTTGTTTGTTTGTTTTTTTTTTTTTTTGAGACGGAGTTTCACTCTTGTTACCCAGGCTGGAGTGCAATGGCGCGATCTCGGCTCACCACAACCTCCGCCTCCTGGGTTCAGGCAATTCTCCTGCCTCAGCCTCCTGAGGAGCTGGGATTACAGGCACTGCACCACCATGCCCAGCTAATTTTTTGTATTTTTAGTAGAGACGGGGTTTCACCATGTTGACCAGGATGGTCTCGATGTCTTGACCTTGTGATCCGCCCGCCTCGGCCTCCCAAAGTGCTGGGATTACAGGCTTGAGCCACCAGCGCCCGACCGAACTTTTTTTTTTAATTGCATTTTAGGTTTTGGGATACATGTGAAGAACATGCAAGATTGTTGCATAGGTACACACATGGCAGTGTGATTTGCTGCCTTCCTCCCTATCACCTATATCTGGCATTTCTCCCATGCTATCTCTCCCCAGCTCTCCACCCGCCGCTGTCCCTCCCCTGTTTCCCCCCTGCACAGACCCCAGTCAGTGTGTAGTGCTCCCCTCCCTGTGTCCATGTGTTCTCATTGTTCAACACCCTACCTATGAGTGAGAACATGCAGTGTTTGATTTTCTGTTCTTGTGTCAGTTTGCTGAGAATGATGGTTTCCAGGTTCATCCATATCCCTAAAAAGGACACGAACTTATCGTTTTTTATGGCTGCATAGTATTCCATGGTGTATATGTGCCACATTTTCCCTGTCCAGTCTATCATCGATGGGCATTTGGGTTGGTTCCAGGTCTTTGCTATTGTAAACAGTGCTGCAGTGAACATTCGATGTGCATGTGTCCTTATAGTAGAACAGAAATCATGAACTTTTATACATTTATACTATACTTTGCATAGGTGGTTTTATTAAGTTGGTGCAAAAGTAATTGCAGTTTTTGCCATTAAAAGTAATTGCCATTAAGTTTTTGCCATTAAAAACCATAATATATATGGAACTAAATGTCTTAAGATAGTATTTTGTTGTCTGGTTCATCTGCTTTGCAAATTAGTAAACCTGTGCCTCTTTGTAACTCCTTTCACATGCCCATAGATACTCCCGTTAGAGGAGTATTTCATGTTCTTCAACCTGGAACCTTCCTCCTCTAAATATCCACATGGCTTATTCTATCCTGTTACCTTATCAGTGAGGACTTTCCAAATCATGTAAGTTTTTTTTTTTTTTTTTTTGAGATGGAGTTTCGCTCTTGTTACCCAGGCTAGAGTGCAATGGCACGATCTCAGCTCACCGCAACCTCCGCCTCCTGGGTTCAAGCAATTCTCCTGCCTCAGCCTCCTGAGTAGCTGGGATTACAGGCACGCGCCACCATGCCCAGCTGATTTTTTGTATTTTTAGAGACGGGGTTTCACCATGTTGACCAGGATGGTCTCGATCTCTTGACCTCGTGATCCACCCGCCTCGGCCTCCCAAAGTGCTGGGATTACAGTCTTGAGCCACCGCGCCCGGCCTTATATAAGTATTAACCATATCCCGGCTGCCTTCTTACTGTGCTTGTTTCATCTCCATCACAGCTTTCACCCCGTAGCATGTTATATATCTAATATTTGTGTGTTCCTTCTACTGTCTCATCCTCTCTCTATATATATTTATTTATTGAGACAGGGTCTCACTCTGTCACCTAGGCTGGAGTGCAGGCACAATCATGGCTTACTGTAGTATCAACCTCCCAGGCTCAAGTGATCCTCCCACCTCATCCTCCCAAGTAGCTGGGACTACAGATAGGAACCACCACCGTACCTGGCTCATTTTTTATTTTTTGTAGAGATACAATCTCACTATGTGGAGCAGTTTGGTCTCAGACTCCTGTGCTCAAACAGTTCTCCCATCTTGACCTTTCAAAGTGCTGGAATTACAGGCATGAGCCACTGGACCTGGACTGCCTTATTCTCAGTACCAGCAATAGTGCCTAACATATAGTAGACACTCAACAAATATTTTTGAATGTATGAATTGTAGATATTACTTCTCATCTTGGTCTTTAATTAATCTTATCTCTATTGGTACTGAACTTAAGTTTTAATATTTGCTTTTAACCTTATTTTTAATATATCTTTGGTTTTAATGGTAATAAAATACAATTTTCAGTGGCAGAATGTCTTATATTGGAGATGTACTCAAATTATACTGGCATCTTATAGGAAGAAAAATTCTTAAGATTCTTAAACTTGAAAAGGCTTTAGAGATTTAGATAGTATCAGAGAGCCAGGCAGTAAGAGAAGAGATTTTTATCTCAGTCTAGTAGAACTATGATAGGTGAATGTCTGATGGCCTCTGAGCATTGGGTGGTAAGCCATGCATTCTAGATATATAGATGGCAGATAAACACATGAAAAGATAGTTAAAATCCTGTCATTAGGGACATGCAAATTAAAATCACAATGAAATACCACTACTCATCTATTAGAATGGCTCAGAAAACCCTGATCTCAACCATTCTCCCTTCTCCCTAGGCTCAGGACCCAGGGCTGGTACCACCTCAAACCCAGTAGCTTAAGGAATTAGGAGGAAGAGTAAGACAGCAATCTGCCTATAAGAGCAGTGTTTTCTCAAACTAGGTTAAGGCATTGACCCCTTTTAAATGCAAATGATATTCTCACAAAACCCCATTGCTGACTTCATTTTTATTATAATATCACAGAAATTACAGATTATAAGACTAGTTAATAATTCTTAACATTAAATTGTGCTTATAAAACCATAAAGGTGGATTGCATATACAGGCACCATAGTACTATTCTAATTATGCCAATTTAATATGTTATAGATAATTTGCTAAACTAAATTATTGCTTATAATATATGTATATAAACTTATCTTACAGATTGTTTTGAAATATATATATATAAAACTATGTATATAAAACATGATG